AATGAAGGTTTAGAAGTGGGCACTGCCTTGTAGTTCTTGTTCTACAATGGGTCATGGGATATAATAGATATGCATTAGGTTGCCAGACCTAATCTGCTTTTGAGTTTTTTGGGGTGGGTATTAGGGGAACCAGTGAAAATCCAGTAATTATAATGCCGATACATCTAGCACTGTCTTAAGTGAGTCATTTTTATCACAATATTGTGATGTTTGATGTTCATGCATTTTTTTATGAAAACCTTGGTGCTGGTCTCCTAATACATCTAGTCAATAGAGTATCGATACATTTACCACTGGTGCAAGTGAGTGATTTTTATCACACTATTGTGACGCATGACTAGGTCATGTGTTTTTAATGAAAGCTTTATTAAGGAGTTTGGCCATGCATTTTAAACATTTTTTTAAGCTCCTGTGCTGCAAGAGTGGCTTATTTATCAATGATACACTCGCACAATGCTTTGAGTTAAAATGAGATTGATATGATTAATGTTTTATTGACATTAGTACTTTATTTGAAGAGTCAACTTTGAATTCAGATTTTTCAGTGGTAATTTTTTTAACATGTTTCAAAATTGTATATAAGTAAATTTTTAATGGCATTAATGTTTTGGTAGCCCAGGTTATTTAATTGAAAGCCTATCCAATCAACATATGGATATATACCCATTCTGTAGTTTTATTTTCATATGAAGATATGGGGAGAGACACTAGTAATGTGACTGTGGGGGTGGACCAGTGTGTAAATGCCCATCCTACCAATGATTGGCTACTCAATCAGCATAATTAGTATAGCAACAATAGTGCTTCACTTTGACTGGTCTGGGGCTTTTGTAGGATGCCACTTCTGGATGCTGATCGGAAACGCTTTGCAAGTTTTTTGAGGATGGCTATCTGGAAGTAACCACCTGCTGATGCAGTCACTTTTTGTTGTGCCTTTTTTTTCCCCAGAGCTTCTGATGGCATATACCTCTTGTGTGCAAAAGAGCCTACAAGGCTATGGTACAGAGGAGTTGGAGAATGCTGCAGGGAATCTATTAACTAATTACGATGGACTAAGAGGTCTCTTAAGGTTAAGCATTGTCAGAACTCCATGGAAAACAGAAGAACTTTAATGTCAACCCCTGAAGAGGATGGGAGATTATATGTCAAGCTGGTTCATAGTCTGTTCCAGGGACCCCAGTGTAAATGCGTTTTGATGCTCTGGTTGCACCCTGGACTCATTGCTCTCTGATTTAGATCTTTTGACCCTCTGAAGCTTTTTGCTCTTCTCAAGAGGATCAACTTCGATGGAATTTCCACCACCCTGGGGGCCTCAGACTGCACAAGATCTTTGCACTCTGAGCTAAACTTTATGGCCACACATGTTCTTTATCCTCTTCCCAGACCATCTTTCTTCAGGAAGGAAAATTCTATCCTTTTTCTCAGTCACTACATTTGACAAGCATGGCTTTGAGTTTTGGGAGAACATGGAGTGTGAGAATCTGTTATGCTTCAGGCTGGCAACCCCTGCTCTAGCAGTGTTTATTATTACACCCTGAAATCCTTCTGTAGAAGGTGTAAAGCCCAGGCTCTCCACCCTAGGATCTTCTCCTAGGCTTGTATGCCTAGTTTCCTTCAGTCAAGCTTGGCACAACACCTGACAATTAAGTACCATTGGGGGTCAGAGCTTAGCTCTTGAGATCCTGTTCTAATGCCCCATGGCAATTTCATCCATTATTATGCAGCTTTGTGCAGGGGTTTGCGCATCTAACTTTTATGTTGCTCCTTTCTGCACTTCCCCCTTTGAGATCTTACATCCCACCAAATGTTCTATTTTCTGTTGTGTTTGAACTTGTCAGTTAATGTTTTTGGTTACCTTACTATTTATTTTACCTTTCTTCCACGGCTGGCGACTCCTGAGCTCTAACTGCACATGCAGGAGGGTATTTCCCAAAGGGAGGAACTATGCTTTTCTGCATAGCCTAGTCTTCTAGAGGCAGGGCATGTACCCTAGAGGTCTGCTGTGTCCTCCAATGAGCTACCTCTGAAAATTATGTTACGGTGAGCCCTAAAAAAATAAGTTTATTGCTACCCTGCCACTGAAGGATGAGTCAATTGCAAAAAAACTTTGTTACCTAATCACTAAAGTATGAATCACTTCAGGTTTTTAATTTCAGGTTTGTAAAACTAATATGTGCTTTGCTCTAAACACTGATTGCACTCTCTCAACAGGATGCTATGTTGGAGCGAGATACTGATTTTTGGATAACAGTCTGCTGTGAATTTACTGTCTATGATCAACTAGAGAGCATGATAAAACTCCTGAAATTTCTTGCCAAGCTACCAGAAAATAATAATGAAGGTACTTTTGCTAAGATGGTATAATCTTCCTTGGGGCCAGTTTACACTGTTCTGGTTCAGTACTATGTGTTTTGTTATGGCAGGGCAATGAAACACTAACGCAGCAAAAACTGCACCTGACCTCTTTTTCGAGAATGCGGCTCACTGCATCGCAGGTGTTTTCTGCCTTTCAAAATGAATGGCACCCCAGCTCTTTAATTAACATTCTTTGTGCTAACACACTTATTACTCCATTGAAACCATATGAGCCGGCCCTTATAAAGCCTTTCCAGTGAAATGATGCATGTTAAAACATTATATTCATTTGGTTTTAAAGATAACATGTCACTTCTACCTCTGTTGGAGTCCATGATTGACCGGATTGCACACCCAAAAGATGAAGATACCTTCACTCACACAGTACAGAAAATACACAACACAGGGAAACACTATAGATGGAAATATGTCAACAGTGTGTACAGAGCTACAAGATGGGGGTATTGTATCACAAAGGTGTATAGGTTATGCCTGTGAGTTTTCGGATATATTGGGAGCCATAATATGATACCGTGGCTGCAGCATAGTTATAGCTATCTTTTATGAGCTGTGTGATAAAATCCCCATGTTACTACAACCTATAAGTGACAATGGGGTCAATTCACAAAGCTCAGCGTTATGAGAGTAGATATGTACTGTTATGGCCAAAAATATTGGCACCCCTGCATTTCTGTCAGAGAATGCACCACTTCACACAGAGAATTGTTGCAATTGCAAATGTTTAGGCATTCTCATGTTTATTTCTTTTTTGTTTGTTTTGGTGTAACACAAAACAGCTTTTTGGTAAAGCCCATCATTCTACTGGTTTTAGGAAATGAAATGAGGCCTTTAAAGAAAAGAATACAGTCCCTACATTCAAACATGATGGAGGTTCACTGATGTTTTGGGGTTTGCTTTGCTGCTTCAGGCACTGGATATCTTGACTGTGCATGGCATTATGAAATCTGAAGACAGCCAAAGAATTCTGGGGTGCAATGTAGGGCCCAGTGTCAAAGTTGGGTCTCTGTCAGAGGTCATGGGTCTTACAGCAGGACAATGAGCCAAAGCAAGCAAGTCAAAAAGCACCCAGAAATGGTTTCAGACAAAGCACTGGAGAGTTCTGGACTGACCAGCAATGAGTCCAGATCTAAATCTCTCCACAGTTGCTCTATGGGATCTCAAAACAGCAGTTGGGAAAAGGAACCCTTCCATTCTGAGAGACCTGGAGCAGTTGGAGAAAGAAGAGTGGTACAAAATTCCTGTAGAGAGGTGTAAGAAACTAATTGATGGTTACAGGAAGCGATTGATTTCAGTTATTTTTTCCAGGGGCTGTGCTAAAAATATTAATTGAGGGTGCCAATAATTTTGTCCAGTCCATTTTTTGGAGTTTTGCGTAGAATGTGTCAGGTGTGGCTTTTTTTTCTCCACTTTTTTTGTGTCATAAGAATACAAACAAAAGAAATAAACATGAGAATGTCTGAATGTCTAAACATTTGTAATTGCAACAATTTTCTGTGCGAAGTGGTGCATTATCTGACAAATGCAGGGGTGCCAATATTTTTTGCCATGACTATAGATGGTCATGCAAAATATTTGGGCTGTGTGTTTCTGGCATTTAGATTGTTCTCCTTTTTTTCTTTCAAGCCTTACTAAAAATGTTGCCTAATGTATCATAAAGCACAGTGTAAGCCACATTAATAACAATTTCACATTAACCCCTTAATGACGTCCATAGTAAGTCACTGTCATCGGGCCCGTTTAAACAGACCCGCCGGGACTCTGTTTACACTTGTAAAGCCGACTGTCGGCTTTACAGTAGAAGCGATTCTGGCAGCTGCCGCCAAGATCGCTTCTACGGGCCCGTAAACGTCTTTTGGACCCCCAGTATCACCTTTAAAGAGTACCTGTCACATAGGGGGTGCTTGTAAGCCCCCCTATGTGACAGCAATTAAAGTAATGTTTAAAAAAAAAACAGTTTTTAAAATAATAGAAAGTAAATGTAAAAATAGTTTTAAAACACGCATATGAAAACAACTATCGCGCTGCACATGTTGGGTATCGCCACACATGCCAGAGCAATAATTCTAGGGCCAATATTTACGCGTATCTCTAAACTTATGTCCTGTAGGGGATTTTAAATCGTTGTCTATGGACTTTTTGGGGTACTGAATTTTGTTGCAGTTTCACAGACGCACACAATTTTTAACCTGGGCATGTTGGGTATCTATTTACTCCTTGTAACCTCATCTTTTATATTTTATTTTAATAAAATGGGTATTTTATTGTGTTTTGGGGCATTTAAAAGCATTTATCATGAAATTTTGGGGTTTGATAAGGGTTTGTGCTATATCGTGCAACCGCCATAATTTTATTCTATAGGGTCTTGGCTTTCAGAAAACATATAATGTTTGGGGGTTTCAAGTAATGTTTAGGCCTAAAATGTGCATTATAACATGTACACACAAAATGAAAAAAAGGCCTCGCTCATGAAGGGGTTAAAAAGCAACACCATGGTGATCTCACTAAAGAATTATACAATGGGAACACTTTACAAGCAATGCATGCTACAGGAATGTTTTCATAAACTTTCATTTCCAGATTTGCCTCAACAGATGAAAGGAAAGGCACTTAAGCGCAAACCCCAGAAGCAAGAATTTGAGTTCTTCAGTTTGGAAACTCATCAAGCTAAGCAGTTACGCCACTTAAGGTTCCTGTCTGTAACCTTTACCTCACAACTCTTGGCTTCCCATGGCTTTGTCAGCAAGGTAATTTAACTGTACTTTAAAGTTCTACTTCTTTTTGGACTTAAGGCTTCATTGTTGCCCCCAGTTGTGGACCAGTGCTGTAGTCTTGAATGTGCAAAAAAGTAGAAAACATTGCTATCTTATCTACCAGCACCAGTAGGTAGTTATCAGTGTGACCTGGCTTGCCAGCAGTTTAGTAACCTTTTACTGCTGGATTCTCTGGATCTCCATGTTGGATAGATGGTTCCCAAAGCTCGAAGTCCGGGCTGTGTTGCCTTACTATTTTTCAGCCTATATATTTTTGTAATAATTTACAGCTGTAGGACAAGCTTGTCATGCTTTGATGTGCCATATGACAAAGTATACCACGCCCCTTCTGGGGAAATCTCACATTGGAATGAATTGCATTGGGAAACATGTTGCGTGTTTTTAACTTTAGCACAACACTGATGGCATACTATTGGGTCCACGAATATACTGTATATACAGGGTGGAAAATAATTATTTGATCCCCTGCAGATTTTGTAAGTTTGCCCACTTACAAAGAAATTAAAGGTCTATAATTTTTATCATAGGTGTATTGTAAATGATAGAGACAGACTATCAACCAAAAATCCAGAAAAAACACATGCTACAAATGTTATAAATTGAGTTGCAGTTCAGTGAGTAAAATAAGTATTTGATCCCCAAGCCAAACATGACTTAGTACATGGTGGGGAAACCCTTGTTGGCAAGCACAGAGGTAAGAGGGATGGTTCCTTGAGAGTTACTATTAACTCAAGCAACCAGAAACTACTGTTATCCGGTACCTACTGATCCCCGTGGGTGCTGGACAGCTGGGAGTTTACTGTATTAATAAAGTGCATTTTTTAAGGGCAACTCGTGGTGTCACTATTTCTTCTGTTTATATGACTAGTGGTGGCATCTGCCCATATTTTATCTTTCATAGTGTGTTTTATGGGCTACAGTTCTCACGTGCGCAGTCCGTTCCGGTCCGGACAGAGAAAATACTGCATGTCACATTTTGTCTGGTCCGGAAATGCATGAACGTGTCGAAAATGCACCGCAGCTAACATACTGACAGCCCCACTCCACAAAAGTTTTTTTTTTTTTAACTGGAATGCGGTAAAAATTCTGCACTGCACGCATAGCACCGCGTCTGCAGATCTGCTCCAGATCTGGACCAGAAAATGGTGTGAACAAGCCCTAAGATTCTAATCTTTTACTCTCTGTGGAGGTTCTAATCATTTGCACATAATCTATAACACCTGATTCTAATGTCATGGCTTTATGACTAATAGTGGTATAGTGGCTTTATATATATATATATTGTGTGTGTTTTATATATCAAATCATTTCTTTAAGGTTCTAAAATGTGAAGCCGCTGAAGAGTTACAAAGCCTGGAACGAAGGTAATTGACTGCACGATTATAATAACAAACGCAACACACTACTATGAGCAGACAGTGTCTACAGGTCTTGACACAGACCTATTTTGCAGCTTCTATTTCTTTTTCTCCCTAAAACTACTTCTACTATTGCCTAAAACTTGTGCATACACCAAATGCTAGTGTACAGCATAGAGGCTGTGCACAATTCGAGGCCTGTAACAACTGTCCGGCACCAGTCTCTCAGGATGTATGTTAGTACACTTACACTTTGAGGTTTTGGAATTCTCTTCACAGACCTTTAGACATAAATGTTTTAAACCTGTGGATATATTTCAGACGTGGAGGGCAACCTAAGAGTATTTCTTAGCTGGATGCATTTTGAAGCATAGGTAGAGAAACACAGATAGCGGGCTACAAAAAAAACATCAGGAGGCTCTGGATTATTTTGTTATGGTTTCACAGAGTTCTCATTGATGGTGGGCCTGAAATTGTACAAATGCCACATTACATGTTTAAGTGCCTGTTCACACCATATGCAGTGCGTTCTGGCCGGAACGCACTGCATCGCATTGCGTCCGGCTCACTTTTTTGCCGGGCAGGAGGGGGTGTGACGGGCCTTTTGAAGTGAATGGCGCCGTAGCACTCGCACGAGATCGCAAGGCACATTGTGACTGTGGTCCAGTGCGGTGCAGTCAAAATTCTGCAAGCACTATTTTGAGCGCTCCGCATCCGAACGCACTGCAGGCACAATGTGCCTTGCGATCCCATGCAGGCGATCGCATTGCGGCCACAGGGCGTGGCTACGGTGCCATTCACTTCAATGGCCCGTCATGCTACCTCCAGCCCTGCACACCTATTTTATATTTGTTACATGTTCCACATTCACATAGCGTGAGCTAAAAACAAATTTAAAACACTTCTTGCAGTTTAGATTGGTTTTATTTGGGTTAGGGTTTTAAGGGATTACATTTCTACTTGCTTATCTTTGTAATGTTAGGAGGGGCTTTGAGGGTTGAGGGGTCTGAGGTGGCTTGTCCATTGTATGTTTATTAAGTGAACGAGAGAAACAATCCTCAAATTTCAGTCTAAGGGCTATTTCACACCAGATGCAGTTGTGATGCAGTCTGTTAAGTTTGGCAGCTGCATCAAAATTGCATCACAATGCTTTCCAATGGTATTTCTGGTGGCTCTGTTCACAACAGTGCTGTCAGTTCTGATGCAGTCAGAAAAAAAATCCTGCTTGCCACACTTTAGCTGCACTTGATCGCAACGGAATGCATCAGAACGCATCAAAACTGCGTAAAAACACATGGAAATGCACTGGACGGCACCTGAAAGCCCATTTTAAGCTAAAAGAAAAAGCATCACAATTTCAGAAACGCATCACACTGCAGCTGCGCAGACGCACGCACTTATGGTCTGAACTAGCCTTAAGTTTTTCCATAAGGTAGTATGGAGTGTGTCCAGAGCTTTGCAAAATAGTGAGGAGCACCACATACAGGCCAAACCTGAAATATTACCTTAAATCCATATCTTATTGTAAATCAGTGATCTGTTTCAACACAGGGAGCAATGCAAAACTACAAACTGAGCCATTTAGACCATTACACATAACACTTACTTTTCCTGTGCTTGAACAAGCAAAAGTGGTGAAATTCATAAAGCCTGGAGCAGACAAAATCGGGAACAGCTGCCAATGGCAATCAATCAGCTCCACTTTTTCATTGTCAAAGCTTAAATGAACAAACTGAAGAGAGAGACTGGTTGCCATAAGAAAACTGTCTGCTCCAGTTTTCATGACTTCCACCTAGTGTGTTTTATGGGCCTGTTCACACGACGTCCGTTTTCTGTGCTGACCTGATCCGTACGCTCCTGCACTAAATATGTATCCTATGTGTTTTATGGGCTACAGTTCTCACGTGCGCAGTCCGTTCAGGTTACGACAGAAAAATACTGCATGTCACATTTTGTCTGGTCAGGAAACACACAGACGTGGCAAAAACGGAACAGAAACAGATGGCAATGCAACTAAGCAAAAAAAGAAAATGTATTCTTGCTCCACTTTTTATGATGTCAGGGGCAGTCGGAGTGGGAGATAGATAGACAGGTTGGGGTAGAGGTAAAGACATGAACTGCAAACATTTTAAACATGCCCATTACCTTACCATGGACATACAAGTAAAGGGGAAAAAATGTATCCTGGTGAGCTCGCAAATCCTCATATAAACTCCAGAACTGACCCTTGGAGTCCCGGAGCCTCAAGATCGGGTTACCCAATAACGACGTCTCCTGCGAGCTCATTCTCTGCAGATTGCTGTAGACAGCACAATCAACATGCCTGCAAACATGTGATACATGTCTGATCACCAGCTTTACATACACAAAGGGAAGTAGATGTTACGAGAGGGCGGAAGTGACCTCAGAGGAAGAATCTGCATACTGACAGCCCCACAGCTTGAAAAAAAAAAATTAACTGTCAGCATCCGGACCGAAAACGCATCAAAAACGCACTGCATGAGTAGCACCACGTCTGCAGATCCGCACTTAATCAGGACCTGAAAATCATGTGAACAGGCCCTTAAGGCTTTGTGTTGCTGTGCATTTCTGCATAGTCAAAACCATTTCTTATGCCTTCATATGGGAGTATGCCATTACTTTTCTATAGTGACTACTGCCTTGGGCAGGAGGACCGGATGCTGACCACTAGTGTGGGGGACATATTGGAGTAAAATGGCACCAAATATTTGAAGGAAATATTTACTGAGAGGTATATGTGGGTCTGCCTTTGCTGACCTTTTTCTAAGAATATTAGTTGCCTGGCTTATTTTGTCTTCACTAACCTGTAAGTAGCATACAGTGATTTGGGCAAATCTCTGCACATCCTGGTTCTGGTGAATGAATTTACTTATCACTCATACTTGGTAAATCAGGGTGCGTTTAGGTAAATGGCATAATACTATTTCAAAAATTGTTATAAATTTCTGAGGTACAAGTGGTTTATTTTTTATTTAGGTTATTGGAAGAAGTCCTTTGCTATATCAACTTAGTAGTGAGTTCCCTGGAAGCAAATGCAGACAAACCTACAGTAAAGTTCTGGCGAGCACTTCTTAACAGAACTTGTGAGCTGCTAGACAAGGTGAGCCTACCTTCATTTTATTCTCATATCTGCAGTGGTGTGTTTAGCTGCAGTATGTTTGAAATGGGTATCTTAATGCTCTTCACAATTTGTTTTTTACAGGTTAATGCTTTACTGCCTACAGAAATGTTTATCCCAGTATTACGTGGTCTCCTGACTAATCAGCTGCCATCTGTGAGGCGTAAAGCATTGGATATACTAAACAACAAATTACAACACCAAGCACAATGGCAGGAAGATCAGGTGAGTGGTGTTTTGCTAATTTTAACGCCAATGGCTGTAATAACTTTTTTCAGCACACTAAACTAAAGATCGCTATACACCTCTCAATTTTGTCATGTTGAGCCAGGGGGCTGAACAAGAGAAGATCAGTCGATTCCGTTATCCACACTAACAGTGTAGAGGAAATCTCCATTGCTGGCTATTGCACTCAGGCAGCCGCGGCTAACTGGATACAGTGGCACTGCTGAACAGTGCTTGTATATGATAAGGAGCAGTCACTGTTTTGCCAATAATTCACCAGACTCAGTCAATCATGGTGCTTGCCACCCACAGCTCAAATTCCAGCTGTGTGAGCTAGAAATTAGAGCCTTTAGATATTTTAAAACTATCACTTTGTTTCTTTAGTATAGTGCTAGTACTTTTAATTTTAAGACAGCTAAGACTAGTAGAAGACTTAACTAGACATAAGTATTACATTTATTTTATGATTATTAAATCTGAACTTCAGTCAAACCATTCAAGCAAATAACAGATTAAATATAAATAAAGTAGAAGTTATTCCTGGCAAAGAATTTGCATTACTCTCCATTTCTGTTCATCCAATCTTGAGATTTATACAGACCCATAACACAGCTAAGTGTATGATACCACATGCGGTTAAAGAATACAGCAGTGTTTTTTCTCCACCCTTGGGTTTCATGCACACTGTCTGAATGTACGTTTCCTTTGGTAAAAACTTAGATTCCTGCGGCAGGAATCCCAAGTATGCCGTTTAGAAGCTGCCGTTGTCACCTGTTTATGATCGCATGACAGCAGCCGCATTTGAATGCAGCAGCTTGCCGGCAGTCAACACATAATCGTATGTGATACGATTATGTGCAGTTAGGAATAGGTCACTGTCCCTGGACACATGGTAGATGACTGCATTGTCCGTGTCGACACATATGCATTCAGCCTTCCTGATTGATTCGGTCTGAGTGCTGCTGCGTAATGGCAGTTAAGTAAGAATTCAGATACTTACAGTAGCTTAATTATAAAAAAATTATTGTCTCCTATAAATTTCTGGAGTACAGTTTAAAATCTACAATTCAAATGCATACACTGGAGCTTTTCTAAGTGCCAAAGGTTTTTGTTTGACTCTTCAAAGTCCTAAAATTTGCACATCCCTGCCAGGCACCAGTGCCAGATTTGCCTCACTTTTCTTTTCTGCAGTTATGCAATACAGAATGGTTACCTCTGTGGCTTCAGCCTGTGATTTCATAGTAAAAAAAAAAAGCAGCAGCTATAGACTGACTTTTTTCTTTCCTCCCGTCTGTTTCTTGTCAGCACACGTGCAAGCAGCAAATCTAGTCTCTTTCCAGGGTTTTACATTAGGATCAGATTCTCCGCTTCGTTTCCATTTAAAATAGGGTTAATTTTTACTCAATTACACATTTGTGTGGTTTTGGTTTTGTTAATGTCTCTGTTTAGTTTTAAAACTTAATTCCAATGTAAACTGATAGTTCGCTATATTACAGAATGATTGCAGAACAATTATATATCTTCCAGTGTAATGGGTGCTGACCGTAATGCTACACAGTGTGATATATGGTATACCCTAGTAGCAGATGGAATTGTCCATACCTCCGTTGTCACTTTTTTGTGTGTGATTTAAATGAAAATTTCACACACTGTTTTGAAATATTAGCAATGTGTTTAAAATAGAGGCAGTATAGTGGCTTTGTTGGTAGTACTTCTGCCTTAAATGAATGTGCCAAGCTAAAAAAACACAAAATTGATAAAACGTGGGGTTTGCAAAAAAATATTGTGTTTTGGGGTTTTTTAGCTCGGCACATTTATTTAATTTATTCTTTTTTTAATCTTAATTTTAAGGTGGACACCATAGTGCCTTGTAGCCAGGGTAATTTATGCTCGACACAGGATCCATTGATTCTATGGTACTTTTGCCTTGCTGCATTGTGGTCCCTGTTCCGAATCCTAGTCAGGAAACAATCTGAATGGAGTTTGCTCATGCTCTTCCTGTGCTTGCATGGGTTTCCTCCACGTACTCCAGTTTCCTCCATGTACTCCAGTTTCCTCCTATACTCCAAAGACGTGCTGGTAGGTTAATTGGCTCCTGAAATTGGACCTAGTATGCAAGTGTGTGTATGTATGCATATGAGATAGGGATGTTGGATTGTAAGCCCATTTGTGGGAGGGCAGGGTAGTATGTAAAGGGCTGCATAAATTTGCATTGCTTTATAAATAACTGTAAAACATTTTGTATTGGCTGCATCATCATATAAGGTAATGCTAGCGGTCTTTTAATTTGAGTTTCTTCTAGTCCAGCAAATGTAACCAATTTTCTGACTCACTTGAAATGTGGTTCATGCATGTTTACCAAAGGGGTAGGTGAAGTGTCTGGAGTCTTTTTTCATCATGTTAGCAGCCTATACATCATGAGGTCTGGTATATCACTCTTTCATTTAAATTGTCTCAACTCTGATAAGGGATACCCAAACAGAGTGGTCACAAATCAAGCCTCTGGGTCCCTTACAGCAGCATGCATCCTCTTAAATATCCATATTCCACTTTCCATTGGAAATCAGAGCAATCTCCGAAGTCTGGAGCTGCATCGAAAAATATGGCCTCCTGACAACAGATCTGTCCTGGAGTACGTTCATTTACATAGGAGTGGAGGGGAGGCAAGGGATACACATGATAGGAATTTTTCTTCCTCTGTCACAGGTTGGAAGTTCCTAAAGGCAAGGCAGGAAAGTCTCTGTTGTAAAGCTTTGGTGGTGGTATTTTTTTTTTCTCAAATGTGTTTATTGCAGATACACTATTTGTGAATTGGTTTTCTTTAAATCCACCAGAAATCTGCAGCGTTTTGCAGCGATTTTGAGACCCCTGGCATTCAGAGATGTAAATTTGACTGAACCCATCGTATTGCAATGAAATAGGGGACACTTACCAGAGAGAGGGTGAAAGGGGAGAGAGGGATGTCTAAGGGTAAGAGGTTGAGCAGGTATAGAAGGGTTCAGGGTTAGGGGGGCAATTGAGGGCATAGAAAAGGGACATAAACCCGGTCTGTGGTAGGTAGAGTGTGGCAGGTGTGAGAAGGGAGGTAGAGAGAAAGAAGGGTGCTGCAGGTTGGGAAGGGTATACAGGGGACAGCAGTAGGGAGATAGTAGAATCTGGAATGTCAAAGAGTGCTAGACTGAGCTACTAGCTAGCCAAAACAAGAGTGGTATTTGCCACTTAGACAGGGTGAGAATGGGTACCTATGTGGGGGGTTTGAGTGGGTACGCATAAGAGATGGAGTGTACACCAGGTACTTGGATTGCAAAGGGTACATTATCTGGTCTCGCAGACCACATAAAGTGCAGAGGAAGGCGAGGTGAGAAAGGTATAACCTTAAGGGTGCTTCTTTAAACCCAGCGGGGCCTAGGGACATACTGTCCAAGAGGGCCATAGTTCATAGACATACCAGCTTTGATCTCTGGTCACTTACATTAGTGTTGTTTTACAAGGTCTAATTAAAAAGGTGAGCCTTATTCTATGTGGTGAGAGCACATTTGGGGCGAAGCCTACTCAATCATTGATTATAGAATGCACTGATATTTTATACAATATGAGCACAAATTGAAAGATAAAACAGGACTTGTTGATCTTTCACATACCCTTCAGGTATGTGAAACCCATCAGGTTTGGTTTGTGTTAATTTCATATTTGCATACACTGTGGTATTTGTGTAATCCATTTTAGGAAAATGTCTAATTTACTGTGAGCCCTGCTGCAGTTTTGTGTGCTAAATAAAAGGACTACATTACTTTTTTCAGCATAGCGCAGTGCAACATGTTATAATCTCATTGCACTTTGCCTGTAGAAGTAAATTAAATGTCAATAGAGTTCTAAAAATAAGTAAACCACACAATGTGCCAGCATCAGTGCATCAGCACCGTTACCCTCATCGCACACCAGCTTTGTAAACAGAAAACAAAGATAGGAGGTCAAGTCTCGTGCCAAATAGGGTCTGGGGTAGATTAGTTCCTCCTAAGGGTGCTGGTGTTGGCTATACGAGGAATGAGGCAATCTAGGCTGGAGAGGAAGTGGACCAGGTTGTTCTACTAGAAGCTCCAACCAGTTCGGGCCATCCGCCACTTGTGAGTTTAGGAATCTGAAAAGAGCTGGAAGCTGGTTATGGGAATGCAGTTTGAATGTGCTGTCTCGCATACAGGCAATAGGAGGACGTCCCCATCTGCATGATGCCTCTGCTGTGCGAACAACATCTTGTAAGGGCTTTAATAGGAACAGCGTACGCAGGGTTTGTCTGGAGAGATCCGGCAGCATGCGGATAAACACTCTTTTGAACTTCATTTGGACTCTGGTCCATGCTCGGCAAAGGATTTCCTCTTTAACTGTGTAGAAATGTATGTGACATAGCAAGTCTCTAAGGGCCCCAGTCATGTTGTTGCAGGGGGCCTGAACCCTGTGCACTCAGTCCAGTTCCAGGTCCACTGTGGTAGGTTTGTCTAGGAGTAGTTTAGAATGACCATGGCCAAGATCCACATCTCTCATTGCTTCCAGGATGCCCTTCACCCGCAGGTTGTTTTTCCTACTCTGGATTTCTGTTTGGTTTTCAATTTGCTGCAGCTCCTACAAGAGGGCCTCCACTACCCTCGTTGCCATCTGGTCTAGATCCTGTTTTGTGGAAAGTTGTGAGAGTACGTGCTGCTGGTCGTCTTCCATGCACATATCATAGAAGTCGGATGTGCTGAGGCCACAGAGCTGGGAGATGAGACCATGCATGTGAGGAGTTTGGATAGGTGATGGTGGCAGGTGGACGTCGCTATGGTAGGTGGTTTCCCTTGCTTTTTGCTTGGAGGCAGTGCCTGAGGCTGTCGCATGGGTCGGTGCGATGTTGATATCAGGCCATGAGGCCAGGTTCACACCTAGGTGATAGTGGTTGCCATTTTGTTCATAAGATCGCGCGATAACACGTGTTTTGTTCTCCATAGAGATGTACAGGTGTCCAATCAGAAGCAGAAACAGCCATGGCCTATGTTCCTGTTTCTGTCATACAGTGACGTGCGGTACCTCTTGTTCCGGGTGAGGCATTTCCCAGCACGTCCCGCCCCCCGCTGACCGAAGCCCCACCCCTGTTGGACGAAGCCCTGCCCCCGCCGGAGGAAGCCCCGAACCCAAGCTAGTGTAAAGGAGGCAGGGAGGAGCCTCCCTGTACCTCGCTTGCTCATCACTGCTGAGGGCTCCGTCCATGACAGGTTACACAGCGGGGAGGATTTCTCTGCTGTGTAACCTGTTAGATGCCGATCTGAATGGAGAAAAAGCTGTCGGCTTCAGACATGAAGTAGACAGCTTTTTCCTCCATAATTCTAGGTGAGGCTCTGCCTCCCCTGACCACACGTCCCTGCTGTCATATGCTGTAATCATGCGATTATTCACTCCCAAATCGCCTATTGAACAAAGTGCACAATTTTTCAAAAAACTCCATGGGTCCAAAAACGCGTGACAATCGCTCGAAAATAGCTCTTGCACCAAGTGATTTCTACAGCACGACAAATCGCAAAGGTGTGAACAGCTTCTATAGACCTTTAATGTAATTTTGTGTGTTGTGCAAAATCGTGCAGCTAAATCCGTGCGATAAATCGCCTAGGTGTGAACCAGGCCTGAGGCCAGGTTCACACCTGGGCGATCCTTGATTGCACGGCAATTGTGCATGATACCACTCGGATTGCTACGCGGTCATGGAGTCACCCACCGCTGACGATCGAGCTGTGGGTGCCATTATTTTCTGATGGCACGGTTTCCCGCCGCAATTCCGCCCGTGCAACCGAACACGATGGTGGCTAAAACAGCCGCTCGTCGTGTATCTTTAAAAAAGGTACCTTTTTTCTGCATTTGTTGCGCGGATGTACCGCATTTTAAATCTTTGGGGCCGCGCAGTAATCACTGTCTGCAATTGTGCACGTCCACGTGATCTTTGGACACGCTTCACAGATCGTTCAGGTCTGTGTTGGCCCTGCAGGTGCAGGCCAAAAAGCTGAGGCGATCCATCACTTGATTTCTGGTGACCTGTCCTTCGGAATGTTTTTTATCTTGGAAAAGTCTACTGCAGTATCATAGAATCCCGTCCATACTCCTCCATGCTCAAGCCACACATTTTTTTATATTTTGTACATTAATCACAATAACCCTCCACCCAGACCCATAAACCCAGGGTTTGGACACATAAGGGCACCCCTTCCTTTCAAGCTTTACATTTAAGCTTACCTTTTCACTTTCAGCATTTCTTTCTGTTCTGTTAAATCCAGGCCTGGAAAAGTTCTCCAAAAAATCCTCCTCAGCGTTAAAGGTCTTACACCACATGTTAACAACACAGATGTGGACACTTGCTGAAGTTTTCAGACTTCATACATTTACAAAGCTTGGGTAAAGGAGGAGGTGAAATTATTTGTATTCTCAACAGGTTTTTCTTCAAACTATCCCTCTTTCCCCACAAAGTCTTTCTGAGATGCTGTTCCTCTTTAACTTTTCTTTTTTTTTTTCACTTCACAACCTGTGTTCCACACCCAATGAAGATGGATCTCTTTGTACTGTTCTGGACCCCAATAAGTGTATTTTAACATACCCGAAGGTTCCAGGGTTTATTCTGATGTTTCTTCCTTAACTTGGCTTTTGCGGTTCTGGCCCCATTCCTGGTGGATCTGAAAACCGGGGGCATATCAGTGATTTAATTATCTCGACTAGGTAATCATTAAGGCTACATTGGTTCAGGACTTGAGAATCACCTTATGCTTCATGCAGAGCTTCAGATGGCTGGTGAGTCTCCAGAAGTCCTCCTTGTAACCTGACACAGTAACTGAAGCATGATCTTGGATACCAAGTTGGCAAGAGTTTTTTGGGGGGTTTTTTTTTGCCTGAGGAAAACAAAGTTACAAATACCTAATATACAGACACAGTGTATGAATACATAATATACCTAATATACAGACACAATGCAGGTCTTTCCTATGCAGAGGCATTTAAGCCTGGGATCTCATAGTGTCATCCTTTTGAAATTGTCCTCTTCATTAAATTCACACCAAGATTCTACAGTGACAGATCCTCTCTCCTTCTATAGGGAGATTTGACTTCTAACGCTAATCCATGGTGGCTTTTGTTGCTAATGGCGTCACTGTGCCATTTCTTCCTGCACTTTAAACAGATATTTCTCATTGCATATACAAGCCTCTTTTGATCAGGGAGGTGTTCTGTGTATGCTGGGGCCCAAACTGTCGATCAACTTACTGACCAGTCCTTCTGTTTTAAGGTTAAATTCTGCATCTTGCTTCTCATTCACTAGTTTAATGCCATGACTACTGAAGGCCCTCTGTGAGGCATAATAGCTGCCATGCTCAGGGCTTATAAGCACTCTTCAATTAAGTGGTAAAGTTACAATTGGAAGGTTTTCTTTAGGAAATGAGTCTCTCTGACTTAACCTTAGGATTATTTTGGTAGATATTTCTACAGTGGGCTATAGATCAGTGTTTGGTACCATTAAGGGACAGATATTGTCTCTGGTGACCTTGTTTTAACAGCCCCTGATCTCCCATTTTTGCTACCTGCCATATTCCAGAGTATCGCTCACTTTGCCCCTGTGGCCCTTTGAAACCTTAACCTCAGTGCTCTCTGCTCTCCATAAGTCTTCTTTTCATCCCTCTTATGTCACTCTCTTTTTTTTTTTTTCTTTCCATGGCTTTGTCCAGGAGGTTCTAAAAGTTTGCAGCCATGCCTTATTCTTCACCAAGATAAGATTGTCCTGTGACATGGGTTTTTCTTTCTGCCAAAGGTTGTGTCCTCCCATGTTAATGAGGACATGCTGCTCAAATTGGACTGTGGACTGCGGGAATAGCCATGTGCAGCCAGTTTAGGTAGTATGTGTTGTATGTGTATGCGTATCAGATGTGGTATGTGTGCCTATTGTTTTGTGTGCGTATCAGAGTATGCCAGAACGCACTGGAGATGGTGTGAACCGGCCCTAAAGCCTGTGAAGCCCGTGACGCACTGCATACGGAGCCGCATGCAGCAAAGAGAAGCGGCGATGCGTGGAGCGTTGCGTGCATTGTGTCTGGTAATATCCTCTCCCGGCCCACAGCTAGACGAGTTGAAAATTAGATCTACACTTTGATTTTAGTCTGCAAATCATTCTCTAATATTGCATATATTCTGTTGCCATATTTTTAAACCTATTTGGAATCCACTTAGCAGTGTAGGAAGTTAGACAAGTTAATCTGGTGTTTTGGCCCTAACCATGACAATAATACAGCCAAAAGTTCAAAGTCATATATGTATTACACTTGCCATTTGGTTAACCTATAGTATTGTGAAATAAGTAATTCCACTTTGAGCTATTGGCGCTTGTGCAGATTATCAGACATCCCAACTCTCCCGGACGTTCTGGGAGTCTCTCGCTATTAGATAGCGGCTGCCCGGAAGAGAAACATTTTCTCCCGGAAAGGTTTACTCTTGCTTTATCTAGCAGAGTAAACCTTTCCCTGCTATCTGTAGGAATGCATAGCTAGATTGCTATTGGCTATTTCAATCAGCAGAGGTGGACCTGAAGTTCTCCATCAGGTCCTCCTTTTAGTGATTGACAGCAGCAGAGGGCGGGTGCAATAGCCAGCATGCTATTGGATATTCCATATTGAAATAGCCAATTGCAATATCAATCTAGTTATTCATTCCTATGCTATTTTTTTATTCTGGCAACAGCAGCTGTCAGCATACTAAAAAAAAAAAAAACCCTGCAGATAGCAAAGAAGCTATTGATTCCTGTGCTATCTGCCATCATTTCAGGGGGGTGCTCTCTCAAGAGGGCACCTCCCTGAAATTGCTTTTTTCAGGTTGTTTTTTCAGGGATTATGGGCACATAAAACTGGTGTCACACTGATATTGAGGACTCCCTCTTAAGCCAGGCATAGGCTTTTCATAAAAGAAAATGTTGCTTGTGTTTGTCTACACCATGTGTCCCTTTGTGATTTTTTTCCTCTTGCGTTCTCTCCTCCTTCCACTTTTTTGCTAATGACTGAATATCTAGTGTGTGTTCAATAAAGCCTATAGAGGTAGAAGTATGTCCAGCACCCACAATATACGGCAGATGTTATGGCATGTCATCCAACAATATTTTTTGTGACATAGCTCTGTTCTAAAGAGCTGAAGAGAAATTAATTGCAGCACGCTAAACTGTTAACATCCAAATATGTTTAGTAATAGAAATATTAGGAAATATTTACAGTTCTCATAATCACAATGCAGCTTTCTGACTATTTCTTATATCACTATTTTTACAGATTGAGTTACTATTGGGACTTGTTAAGGACCTCCTGTGTGTTGCACAACGGAAATTTAACATTGAAGAGGAAGAACAAGCAATCAACAGACAAACTGCTTTATACAGTTTAAAGCTGCTTTGCAAGTGCTTTGGTTCTCAGAGGCAACATGTGTTTGTGCCTGTACTTAATGTGGCTGTAGACATTATTGTGGAGGGACCGAAGGAGAAGAACGTATTGGGCAGTGCTATGCTGTGCATTGCAGAAATTACCAGCACAGTCAAGGCCCTGGCTATTCCTCAGCTTCCCAGGTATAGTACTATACATTTTAATTGTGAATACCCATTTCTCTATTTGTTTGTGATATACCTTAGTACTAACATATTGGTCCCACACCCTTTCAGCTCCCATTTGTTGGGGAGCTCTATTTTACTTAAAAATGTAGTTGCAAATATTTTATAGTGACAGAAAATTCAGTAATGATAACAAATCATATGAAAAGCGTTATCCTTCATTGAAGGACACAGCTAGATCTATAAATTTAAAAAAACTAGTGGTTACACATTTGTTGAGGCCGGAAGAATAGAATTATGAGAGCCCACACACAGAAGCAACAGTGTTTGTCTTCCCTTGCTCATTCACAAAACACTGAGAGGGGAATTTATGAAAACTGGAGTAGAAAAAATCTGCAGCAGTTTCCCATAGTAACCAGTCAGCATCTATCTTTAATTTTCACAGCTAAAGACAGAAGCTCTTTCACAAAGCAAACTAAAGAGAGAAGCTGTTTGGTCGCCATGGGCAACTGCTTCAGATTCTGTCTGCTCCCGTTTTGATAAAGTCCTCCAAATGTATTCTGTGAATGGTTCACAGAATATGAAGCTTTCTGTGAATAAGAAAGGGGAGAGGAGGGACGGACAAATCACATGTAGCTTCAGTGTATCTTTCCTATCGCAGTGCCAGATGTATAGTGAGAGCTGTACTACCTGTCCTAAATGAATGTGTAAATATGACAAAGTGGCATACACCTCCCATTGATTCACTTTTTATCATCCCTGGGGGTTCTCGCACGGCCCAACTGGGTTTGTGATCACATTAGTCCCTATATAAAATAGGCCATCTTCTATCGCCAAACCGGCAATCATGTCAGCTACCCTTTCAATTTTCTTTTATTTATGCATAATGCAGGACCTAAAATTATCCATCAAGTTTACTCATTTCAGCCATTCCCGGCTTTAAGCAGAGCTTGCCGCACATTAGTGAGTACATCTAAAATACCTTCCGCAATATAGATGAGGTAAAAAATGTAAAACAGATTCTTAAACACCACTATATGCAGCTAATACAGATAAAACACCACCAAATGCAAGGTATGTACATATCTACCCATAATTTATGATCATTTAATTATAGATATCTCAGATGTAAATCTAGGTCCCACATATAGTTCATTCCTAAGGAATCCTAGTTCTTAACATAGGCTTACCCACTGCATGAAAGGGAAAACCTGCTGTATCACCTCCGCATACTATAAAAAAATGTTTTGATACATTGAGTAGCTGCTGAGTTTTGTTCCCCACAATAGTGTTTTCAAACTCTAAATCTCATTGAGCAAGTTGTACTCCTGACATACTGATGTAAACATTTGCTGCAAGTAATACCAGATTTTAGTGTTAATGTACTAATTTCTCTTGTCACCAGTGAGTGAACTGAATGTGTTTTAAATGTGTAACTACAGATGTCTCTGTATTTAATGTTGTTGCTGAAGGCAAGGACCTCATTCCCACATTTTATCAGAGTCTGGAAACCTCCCTTTCCATAAGGGGTGTCCCCAGATATCTGCCCACCCTACCTGAATAAGTAAGGGGTACTCATTCACAAAAAATGTCAAAGTAAATATAATCGCAGACACCTTAGAAAAGTCCTTTTTTTAAAAACAATCCCCAAATGTCCCCATGATGTAGGGCCAACATCATGATAAACACGACCTTTGCACGATGAGCCTCTACCGACGTACTCTCACTTCAAATGACCTTTGCCTGGCCAACAAAATAGCCAGTGATGCTGGTAAAAACATGTCACGCCAGATGCCTGTCGGCTAAACAATTTCAAACAAGCTGGCAAGCAGCAGAATTGTTGGTTGCGAGGAATCTGATGGGCGCCTGCGTTTTACAAAGCAGTGATGCTGTGCAGCCACATACGTTGTAGCAACTAATAACACTGTGTGGCCTGCACAGCATAAATTATTGCTAGGATGCAGGTGGCTAAGCTGCACAACTTCTTTGGTTGCTATGGTGCAGACAGCCACCAGTGTGCTAGCCATCAATGACATGGGGGGTAACAGTCAATAACATCACTACATGAATGACTTCTGGCTGCAGCAGCTGAAGGTGTGGTGAGCAGGCAAACTGGCCAAATCTGGCCATTTAGTTCATCTGTTCGACCAACTGCGAACAACTTGGACTGGGACCTGAACCCGAAGCTAGTCCTTACCATGCCACACAGAGCCTCCAGAATGGATAGAGGGTTAAGCAGTGCTGATTACCTGTTTATTTCAATAGGCCATAATGGGTGTTTCATATTTACCGATCCTCCTGTTCAGCCATCCGACCTGCTCTGCCACGCACAGACAGAGCCGCCGGCGATCCACGATTTGACAGCCAGCGCCTCTGACCTGCACACCGCTCGGCCATCCTGAACTTGCAACTCCCCACTCCGCCCCCCCACCAGCAATTTCCTTGGATCCCTGCTGCCTCAGCCCATACAAGCGGGGGGAGAGCAACAGGGATCTGAGGAGAAACAGATCCCTGCCTGGAGAGGCTCCAGGCAGAGAGGAGAGGCTGCTGATGCAGATGCCGCTGCAGTGTCGGAATTTTCATTAATATCGCTCATTAGCGGCTGATCTAATGACGGCTATTTCAAGGGAACCGTTCTGCTATAAGCTCATGGTCGCTAAAGCGACCATGAGCTTATAGCAGAAAACGGTAAAAGCCACCAACATATGGCATACTGGTGTGGCGTGCAGGGCACAATTTTTTTTTTCCGCCGTATGCCATAAGTCGGAGGCAGGGAAGGCTTAATCTTTGAGCCTCTGTTAATGGTATGCAGAGATCAGAATTTGGAGTTGCAAAAAGTGACCAAATGCATTTTACTGCTGCAGAAGGTGTTGATAAGAGTTCTTCAATTAGGTGGCATTTACATAGAGATCTTATTGATCTGAGTAAGGAGTTAAAAAAAAAAAAGATCGCTACAAATACCTCCATAATTGTAGGGCGGAAACAACTAATCAACAAAGTCAATAATCGATGGTGAAAATCTTTGTCAATGATGTGTTGTATGTGTACTGTGTGTACATTGTGTTGTATGTGTACTGTGGTTGAGATCTTTTTGTACCTCATTCAGTAAGGGCATATAGTTGCAATGAAAAAGGCCTTTCAACTTATGATGCTTCCAGGAGAAAGGAAAATAAGGTTGCAGCAGTCTCACCTCCCTGGCTAGTAGGTTAAAGTTAAGAACAAGGATTTGGCAAGGCTGCTGAATGTAAAATAGAATGTCATCTGCATACCTTGTGTGTTTTGTGCTCCCTATCCCCTACCTTCACCCCATGAATATCTGGATGGTGTTTAATTGTGGAAAGAAAGGGTTCTAGGGAGATTGAGGGCAGCCGTACCATTTCATAAGGACAAGGGCTTACTGTGCCATTCGTACGAACCTGGGCAGTTGGATCTTTATACAAAGCTAAGATCTGTCACAGCATCTTCTAACCCAACCCAATATGGACCTGGGTCGCCATAAGTTAGTCCCAGGCCACCGTATAAAATGCCAAATACTTGTGGATCAGCAATACTTGATAAAGTGAAGATTAGATGTGTTTATTTTCTAACTCCATTTTAAGTTAGGATTAATTGTGTGTCATTGTTTGCAGACTGATGCCTGCTCTCCTCACAACTTTGAAACAAAGGAAGGAACTGCTTGAAAGTGAGATTCACCTGCTCAGCACATTGACAGCTCTGCAAAAGGTTTTAGAGATACTCCCACATTTCATCAGCCCCTACTTATACGAGTCATTGCTACAGGTAACTGTTGTCATTGGTTCTGTTTTATAGCTTTGTCCTGTACTAACCCATCAGGCTACTGTGTTGCATTGACTGTATTTAGTCTTAACAACATGTCTGAATTTAGACAGTGAGATCCCCTGAGATCCTGTAGACTGCAGGGTCTCAGGGGGTCTCTGCATGATCTGTGGGGGGCGTTGAATGATCTTTAGGGGGCTCTGCAGCCTGCAAAGCCCACCATAGATCCTGCACAGTCCCCTTGAGATCCGGCAGACTGCAGGGTCTCGGAAGGTATCTGTGGGGGGCTTTGCCGGGTCTCAGGGGGTCTCTGCAGGATCTGTGGGGGGCTTTGCAAGATCCATTGAGGGCTCTGCAGCCTGCAAAGCCCACCATAGATCTTGCACAGCCCCCCTGCGATCCAGAAGAAAGAAGGGTCCCTGCAGGATCTGTGGGGGGCTTTGCAGGTTCTGTGGGGGGCTTTTTCCGGATCCATAGGGGGCTCTGCAGCTTGCAAAGCCCACCACAGATCCTGCCCAGCCCCCCTGAGATCCGGCAGGGTCTCAGGGGGTCTCTGCAGGATCTGTGAGGGGCTTTGCCCGGTCTCGGGGGGCTAGGGAGGATCGGTGGGGGGCGGTGCGGG